CCCCCTCCCTGGCTGTGGTAATGAGGCAGAACAGCCATGCTGACTGAGAGCAAAACGCTAATACGTTGATGAGCCGACCTGCTTTTCCTGTTCACCTGTGGAGACGAGGAACACTTCTGAAGACATTTGGTAAAAATCAGAAGCAAATCTTATCCCAGACCTTTTTAATTAAGGCCTCCTGTTTGGGTTCTGCTTGTTGGTGTTTGTCGTCACCTTCTGATTAGAACCATCAACTGCCTTCGTAAATCTAATCTATTTTCCTAGAAGCTATTCCTGTGTTCTACCACAAAGGGGCAGCACATACACATTTTTTGCACCCTCAGCAGTATTTATATGAGGTGTTGGAACCCATCACACACAATTAAGGCTCATTCACAATAACTAAGAAGTTGTAATTCTAGCAATATCAAAGAAGAACTATTTTACAACAGTTCTTGTTAGAATTTCCTGATATGTTGATCATTTGCCTCAGGCTCTGATGTTGTTTTTGTACTGGCAGCCGATTCCAGGTATGAAAACAATGCTGCTCACTTTGTTCACATCATAACATATTTCTGCAAGTAGTTGGCCAGGCTGCTCTGAAATGTGGTATTCATGGTGTCTAGAGGATGTTTCATGAGGGATATTGGGACATTTTGATTAGTCATATTACCTTGGGATTTACTGTGCTCATTGGTGGTCCCATAAGGATAATCCCGTGTCATTTTGGACACACTGTAAGGTTTCGTCTTGCACCACTCCTAAGTTAACATGTCAAAAAAATGTGACAGTGCACAGAGGAAATTCTGTAATTGACAGTTTCAAACAGCCTTTTGATTTTAGTAACGCAATGACCTTTCGCATTGTGCCAAATTCACACCACAGCTTTGATTGGCCCTTATCATTGGTTCAAATATGTTGGTTTACCTCAAGAATGTAACTCAGTGCAGCTTTTAGATGTAAGACAACATCAGAACATATGTCTGACAAAAAACAGAACGTGGACACTTTAGGTCAGTGGTTCCTAACCGGGGGTACGGGGACCCCTAAGGGTACTTGAAGGGATGCAGGGTGTAAGTAGAAAGATTAGGGATTGCAATATAAATCCCACACAAAAGACTATTTAAAATCAATTCTCATAAGCCTGGTGTCCTGCCCCCAGAACTGTCAAAGCTTATGAAAGACAAGCAAGCTCAAGTGTGTCATTCAAAGCTCCAGTCTTAACAACATATGTTGAAACAGCTAGAAGTGAGTCTTATAATTTTTCACTGACAATAAGTGTTAAGGTCAAGTTTAAATGCATTTGTATTAAGGGTGAGTTATACAAGGGATTTTCCTTTAAAGAGCAGTTCGGTTGAATATGATTACAAAGGGTTTAATATAAGAACATATTTAGGCCAATCATCACAGATGAGTGAGGGGGTACTTATAGAATGGCAACCAGCTCAAGGGGTTCACGAGACAAAAAAGGTTGGGAACCACTGCTTTAGGTCACAGAGTTCAAAGGGTCTCAGACTGTGTGTGTGTGATGCTCTCTGCCAGGGTAAACACCTGAGGTGAATACACTGAACTCATACACACTCCGCCCTGTTTTCATAAGCCCTCTTTTCATAAGCCCTCTTTTCTCCTGCTTGTGAAAGAAGCAACATCACTTCTCACTTGTTGGTTCATATCAGCTGGAGAGCAAATACACTGTACAGCTTGCCTCCTTTTGCTGTCTGAAGGTTGAAGTCCAGTTCTGTTCTTCATAATATTATATGATTTATCATGTTTATACCTGCGCATTTTGTAAACTAGTCTAGATATATGGAAGCATTATAGATGTTGTCAATCAGAGTCCTCAGTTAATGATTTATTCATTGGACTTTGCTGGAAACATTAGATCAACATTAGGTCTGTGATAGACTGGATTGTGTAACACTTCAAAGTAAGGAAAGCCCATTGACGGTGCCTCAGAGGTGGAGAGTGCACGACCCTGAGCTCCATTTACCTCTTTGTATTTCAATGTGTTTCTCCTTAAAAAAGCCAATTTATTAGGTAAGCATTTACTGGATTATGGGAAAAAGCTAATCTATTGTTATTGGATTATTTTACCCATCTAAATGTGAAGCTCCTAAATGTGCATTTGTTAATAGTGGTAATATCAAAATGGTTTTGCGCCAACATTTGCAACCATGTAGCCTACTTCTATTGATTGTTTTCCTCTGATAAATGCAATGCAGATTTTTTTTAATTGTTTAGTTCCTTCCTAAGCGTCTTTATTTAATTCATAAATAATAATTAAATGGATGTAAAGGGGTTCTACAAAATAAAGTGGAACATCTTTCATCTGTATATCCTGATGAATTAGGTGGAGCTCATAGCTAGCAAAGCACTGTAGCTGGCAAGCTAACTGGTAGCAATTTAACCAGTCAGTCAAAATAGCTCTCCAAGCTAGAATGTGAGTTAGCTGCTAAAATGCTAGCAGTGGATGCCACAATGCAACCCAGTCTCACGGCATTTCGTGTTATAGTCACGAAATAAATGTAATATATTCCCCAACACGATTTTCCTCTTTTTTTCGTGTCACACAGAACGATTTTAAAAGCAATATATTTCTATTGGTAGTATGTTTCGTGCCTGCACCACGTCTTTTTGTCCGGTCGGGTCTTGGAAGACCGGAAGCTGTGGGGTTCATAAAAACATGTTCTTACTCAATATCAAGCCACGATTATTGTTTTTATTTTAAATCGTATAATGTCTGACATTTTTTTGCCGTCCCCGAGGAAAATAAATGGGGCTTAGCCTTTCCTTCTAATTTTTTATTATTTGGTGCAGCTACGAAACATACTACCAATAGAAATACATTGCTTCTAAAATCGTGTTGGTGAACACGAATCAATAGATTACATTTCGTGACTATAACACAAAATGCCGTGAGACTGGGTTGCACAGTAGCCCATGCTACCAAGCAAGCTAGGTAGTTTGGTAACAGTCGGCTAAACTTTTGGTAAAGCTACACATTTCTCCTCAAAGTAAGTAGCCTGTAGCTATAGCAAAACCACACTGTATATATGGAAAGAAGCAAGCTAGTGTTGAAGTGAAGTCCACCCAACTAGAAGATCCTTTACTGCAGATCTGTCCGATTTAGATGGATGCATTAATATTACATTTGTAGTTGTAAAAGCTGGAATGAAATTACCATAATATTTTTTTTAGAAACTCAAAAAGTGGGATAAAAATACATCTTGTGTTTGTAGACATTTTAATTGACAAGAATATTCTCTCATTTGGTGATTTGATGATAGTGGTGCAGACCGTTGTCAAACATTGGTCCAAGATATCCCATAGTTCTACTGGGTTGATGGTGGCTCCGAACACCATAGCATTCATTATATACATGTTACGCAGACCGTCCATGTTGTGTGCTTCAGATCAAGGGTAGTGTGTGACTGTGTGTCTCTTTGCAGAGGATGCTGGGACGTACTTCCCCAGTATGAAGAGGGACCCGGGCCGGTACCTGCAGCCCTGCTCAGACTCCGTCAAGACCTGGCTGCGCAGCATGAAGAGCGCCGGGAAGGTCCTCCTCCTCATCACCAGCTCCCACAGTGACTACTGCAGGCTGATCTGTGAACACATCCTGGGGTAAGACTGCTAACCATAACACCCCCTCAGGATTTATGACCCGAAGCCTGCTCAGTACAAGCTGGTACTTTCTGATGTTCCCTCAGCTCACCACATTCCTCACATCTCCCTCATGTGTCAGTCATTGCTTCAGTCACGCCGTCATCATGGCACTATATGCAACACTCGCATATCTTCCAGCAGCCAAGTCTGCACGTTAGGTCATTTCTGTTTATATTTCTTCTTTTGTCTGTTAAAAGTATATGCATTCCTCAAAAAGGCTTGTTCATCACTCAAACATTCAGTCTGAAGACTATGCTATCAGCAATGTCATATTTGGCAACTCAAAATCCAAAAATGGTTGCATGTAAGGTCACAGTGAAAATATATTAGATTAAAAAAAGAAAGGAAAACTAAAATATCAAATGCAAGTTTATTTAATTGAACATTGCTCTTTTGTGTCTCACTTTAATGCTAACAGCTGATCTGTAGTCCAGCAGAGGCAAAAAGCATGTGGAGGCAAAGACGTTCTGTTTGGCAATAACTTAATTGCATAACCAGCTTGAAATACACCCTTCCTATTTCCCCTTATTGTGATGGAAACTTGTGAAGCAATGGAGACGAAACTCAGAGAGACACGGGGAGAGCAGGAACTTTGATGGCAAACACTGACGGTTTATTTGGAGATTCGGCCGGAGAATTCACAAGACGTGCTGTGCCACGAGTTGACACAGCGGATGCCAAACCAATTCTGAAGATCTCTACCCCAGACCAGAGTCCTGCACGGGTCTGATTTTCAAGACCCGCTCCCGCCCCGCACCTGCGACGTGCAATACCGAACCGAACCCGCTACCCGCACATATTGCCAATTAGTTCCGCGACCCGACCCGTCAGCACAAGATCCGCAACCTGACCCAAACCCGCATATATATGAGCAGTGAAAACGTGCAATTATTAACACACGCATATTGCATATTTGTTTCAAAAAGCGTGGGATTTTGGTTATTTTCTCCATCTAGGATGACACCAAAAGCCTCCCAGACGTTGGATTTCGCTCTTGAGGAAGTGTTATTGAAAATGCTGTATTCTCCGCTAGAGAGCTTCACCTCAGCCATTTCAAATGTGGTGCGCTCAGCAGCAGATTGATGCGCTGCAGAGGTTATGATTATGCGCGGTCCCGCGGGGGAGAGGTCTGACGATTTAAACATTAAACTAAATCATTATTATTTTAATATATTTATTATGCAACACCCACGACCGGACCCGCATCATCTTTGTTTTACCCAGAACCGAACCCGGAAAAAAGCGTTTGTAAAAATACCACCCGCGAATCATTTTTTGTGCGGTTCACCCGTCGGGTACCCGCGGCGCTAGGGGATGGCTACTTGGGCTCAAGCCCAGGATGTTTTCTGAAAAGCCCCGGATGTTTCACTTAAAAAAAAAAAAAAAATGTTTTGTTGAAAACGTCTCGGGAGTAATGTGCAGTACCGGAGTCCACCAGAGAGGCAGCCGCTACGCGACATTAGCCTGCGTACTGCGTAGCCTTCCCTGCCCTGAGGAAGAAGTGATCCTTCCTAGAGCCTGACGAGTTTTAAGCTAATAGCCTATACAGTTATGGATATTAGAAAGTTATTTTCATTGAAGCAGGCGCCACAAGCTGCAGCAGCAGAAGTAGCAGTATCAGCAGCTGACAACAATGTCATCACCAGCAGTGAAGAAATTGATGATGTTTCAGGTTTGTGAATCTAATGGTGATATCTGCACTCTGGCTATTTGAGTAAGAAGTGAAAAAGAGTGATGTAACGTTAATGTTATAGCTAGTAAAATGGAGTAACCACACTAAGCATACCCTTATATGTTAGTATGTATACAGAACATGACTAAAAAGTATCCTAAGATGTAACCCGTTTGTTTGTACACGGGGTTCGTTATCGGAGTGAGGAAATTCCTCTATCGTCGTTATGGTTCCGGTCTATGATACGGTACCCTTTCCTCTGTCATTTCTCTCTCTTTTACTTACTTGAGCCAGTTTACCAACTTTATGGTATTTCGTTTACTAAGGGGATTGTACTTTCGTCTTGTCGTCGTCGACATGTCACAACCGACACCGGTCGTCGGCACACACACGATTTACTGTCGGGTGACGCAGGGACGGCCTCGGGGGGGGACTGTCGGGACTGTCGGGGAGACTGTCAGGGACAGGGGACCGGACATCGGGGGACTAGTCTGGGGACAGGCGACCGGCATGGTTGGGACTGTAAGAGGGGGGACAGGGACCGGACATGGGGGACTTGTGGGTGACAGTGATTCCGGACATCGGGGGCTGCGGGGGACAGGGACCGACATCGGGGGACTCTGTCGGGTGGACAGGATCGGCATCGGGGGACTGTCGGGGGACAAGGGACCGGACATCGGGGAGAGACTCACCTACGCAGTTTCGGTTAGACCAGACTTAAGTCTCCCAACGGACAGTCAGGCAACGGACAAGGTCCAAGGCAACGGACAGTCAAGGCAAGATACCAAGGTAACAATACACCATGACTTTGCTGCTCGTCCATATTAAGGGCGCGCTTTGTCTTATTTTTAACCTTTATGCAAAAAATCACGACTTTTCATCTTGACCTCATACCNGCTTGGTATCAGTCTGACCTAACACTCGGTGAGAAAGCTTGGTATCAGTCTGACCTAACACTCGGTAAGAAAGCTTGGTATCAGTCTGACCTAACACTCGGTGAGAAAGCTTGGTATCAGTCTGACCTAACACTCGGTGAGAAAGCTTGGTATCAGTCTGACCTAACACTCGGTAAGAAAGCTTGGTATCAGTCTGACCTAACACTCGGTGAGAAAGCTTGGTATCAGTCTGACCTAACACTCGGTGAGAAAGCTTGGTATCAGTCTGACCTAACACTCGGTGAGAAAGCTTGGTATCAGTCTGACCTAACACTCGGTGAGAAAGCTTGGTATCAGTCTGACCTAACACTCGGTTAGAAAGCTTGGTATCAGTCTGACCTAACACTCGGTGAGAAAGCTTGGTATCAGTCTGACCTAACACTCGGTGAGAAAGCTTGGTATCAGTCTGACCTAACACTCGGTCAGAAAGCTTGGTATCAGTCTGACCTAACACTCGGTCAGAAAGCTTGGTATCAGTCTGACCTAACACTCGGTAAGAAAGCAAATCAGAACTAGTCGAATGTTTTGAGGAAATACTCTTATTTGCTTCACATTAAATATGTGATTCAATCTCAACAAATTCCGGGATGTAAAAAACACTCGTTTGTTTTTGTGGGGCATAAGCAGTAACTTCCTTCTTTCAAAATTGCCCACTGAAAACCCTGCAACAAAGACTGTGTTTGCTGTCACACACATGGGAGGTGGAAAGAATCAGCAGCATCCTCCAGGCAGAGATCAGCATCTGGGTCTCAGTGAGGGAGCCGACCCCCTCCTCCTCCATCTCTGCCACGTGGCACACCAGAGACTTCACATACTGGGACCAGTACTCGTATCGCCGAGCGTTGGAAAACTTCTGGAGCCCATCCTTCAGGGACTGCTCCAGAGACCCACTGTTAATCACACAGAGGCAATTCATATTGAAAACATGAGACGGGAGCTTAGTGAAAGTGAGAAACATTGAAAGAGTGAATTTACCTGACGACGTAGTAGATCTCCAGGCCGATGATCTTCATGACAAAAGCACACGTCTCCAGGACACATGCCTGTAGAATGAAACTCTTGCGTTGACATATTTCCGCTCTCACTAATAAAAGTATTGTTATTTAAATCATTGTAAAAACCGATCCAAATACCTCGGTGGTATCTGAAGGAGGGGCGAGGGGCGCAAAGAGAGGCGTGGTCAAGTGTTCCCAGAACCTCTCTCTGTGTTCACAAAGCACAATATGAATGAAACTCCATTATTCCTGCTGGTTCTCTGAATGCTGTACGTTGGGTACAGCTGCGATGATTAGTTGATCAATCCGTTGACATCACATGTTGTGTTTAGTTATGTTTAATGTAACATTTCCACAATATGAAAATGAAGATTTTCTAGTGTTTTCCATCATAAAACTGATTCCTTTTGGTTTTGGACTGACAAAAGATACATTCAAAAGACCCCCTGGGATAAACAGATGGACATTCTTAAGACCAAATCAACTGATTTTGATCAATGAATCGAGAAAAGTCATCGGCAGCTTTTTCACAAATGAAGAGTCGTGAGTTGCAGCAGCCATTTTGGAATAACAGTTGACTAGACCCTCCAGAAAAACGCGATCCTGCGATCGCAGAATTTACCGCATAATCAGCAAAATGGCGCAGATTTTTAAAAAGCCGCATATTTATCAAAAGGCCGCATAATCCCCGCATTTTTCCACACAAAATTGAGAAGAAAAAAAAGTTAACTCGTCTTGACGTGACGTCATCAGCTCGCGCATCACAGAATGTAAACAACACTGTATAGAGCTCATTTAGCAACGAACATTTCTACTAAAGACCGGAAAGCTTGG